GACTCACGACTCTGCCACGTGGTTACAACTCAAAGCGGCATTTCTGAGGTACCGCAGGAAGGGGATTGAGAACCCATCCCTGCCACAGAAAACACCACTTTAGCCACATGGACGGCATGAACTCCAGCACTCGGGTATCGCAGCCAGTTCCAGAACTGGCTGGCTGGCAGAAGGAGCCAGTGCCCCTTGGCAGCTGTCGGGCGGCTGTCTCTCCCAGCCACATCCAGTATGGGAAGGCATTTGACGTCTTCTTTGAGAGAGCAGCCCACCTCCTGGTCTTTGCAGAAGAGACGCTTCTTTGCTTAGAACTGGTTTGGGGCCAATAAGGACTAGGCCTCCACCTTGCCAGCTCCCAGACTGAGAGAACTAGGAGCCTGGCATGGTTGTCCGAGCCACCGTGGCAGGGAAATGGCAGGCCTCCTGGTCCTGGAAAGGAGGGTAGCCGTGTGTGTGAACAAGAAGAAGAAGACATTGGATTGATACCCCGCCCTTCACTACCCGAAGGAGTCCCAGAGCGGCTTACAATCCCTTCCCCTCCCCGCAACAGACACCCCGTGAGGTAGGTGGGGCTGAGAGAGCTCTGAGAGAACCGTCCTTGAGAGAACAGCTCTGAAAGAAACTTGTGACTGGCCCAAGGTCGCACCAGCAGCTGCATGTGGGTATGGGTGGACCGTAAGTAAAATATGAGCAGCCATTGTGATGTGGCAACAGAAAGGCGAATGTGATCTTGGGCTGTATCAACAGAGGCGTAACATCCAAACCACAAGATGTCCTAGTCCCGCTGTACACTGGATTGGTCAGGCCACACCTGGAGTCTCGTGTGCAGTTCTGGAGGCCTCGCTTCAAAAAGGATGTGGACAGAATGGAGCGGGTGCTGAGGAGAGTGACGAGGATGATCAGGGGCCTGGAGACCAGGCCCTGCGAGGAAAGGCTGAGGGACTTCTTGGGAATGTTCAGTCTAGAGAAGAGGCGCTTGACGGGGAACACGATCGCTCTCTTTGAGTATTTAAAGGGCTGTCATTTAGAAGAGGGCAGGGAGCTGTTCCTCTTGGCAGCAGAGAACAGGAGGGCTCGCGATCATGGGTTTAAATGAAGGGCAGGAAGGTAACAGCTGAGCCTTAGGAAAAACCTTTCTACAGTCGGAGTTGTGCAGCAATGGAATCAGTTGCCTGGGGAGGTGGTGAGCTCCCCCTCCCTGGCAGTCTTGAAACAGCGGCTGGACAAACACTTGTCAGGGGTGCTCTAGGCTGACCCTGCATTGGGCAGGTGGGTGGACTAGATGGCCTGTATAGGTAAAGGTAGAGGTTTCCCTTGCTCGAAAGACGATCAAATCCGACTCTAGGGCTGCGGTGCTCATCTCCGTTTCCAAGCCAAAGAGCCAGCGCTGTCCGAAGACATTTCCGTGGTCATGTGGCCAGCATGACTAAACACCAAGGCGCACGGAACACTGTTACCTTCCCACCGAAGCGGTACCTATTTATCTACTTGCAATTTCTTGCTTCTGAACGGCTAGGCTGGCAGGAGCTGGGGCCAGAGATGGGAGCTCACTCCATCACACGGCACACTCGGGTCACAAACTGCCGAACTACCTGCCTTCCAGACTGCAGCTGAGCCACCGCACCCCTTCCAATTCTGTGATCATAGGGTTCCATGAGGCTGGGAGAAATGGGGCGTCAACCCTTGTGGCGCACAGGGAGGCAGCAGCCCTTTCTCTGGTGCCTGGCACTCCCTCTTTTCCAGAGGACAGTTTCAGGCGGGCAGCCATCCCGGCCTGCGGCAGAAGAGGTCGACTCGAGTCCAGTGGCCCTCCTAGTGCTATTGGACCTGAATCTTGCTCTCTTTGAGAAGGGGCTGAGCCCTCAGAGCACAAACTAAGTTACTAAGTATTATCCCGCCACCCCAAGCTTATCCTCCATCAACCCCTCTATAGGCGTGAGCAGTCCACAGGTATCCCAGGGCTTTGTGTCTGTGTCTGACAGACAGTCCCTTAGGAGCTGCAGATGCAGGCATGGCTGTGGAAAGAGCCGTCAAGTCACAGCCGACTTACGGGAGGCAAGAGACATGGGGGGGGGCTAGCCCTTGCCTGCCTCTGCGTAGCAACCCTGGACTTCCTTGGTGGTCTCCCATCGAAGCATGGACCAGGGCGGACCCTGCTTAGCTTCTGAGATCCGACCAGGTGGGACCAGCCTGGGCCAACCAGATCAAGGCAAGAGGCGTTCAGAGGTGGTTTGCCCTCACCTGCCTCTGCGTAGCAACCCCGGACTTCCTTGGTGGTCTCCCATCAAAGCATGGACCAGGGCGGACCCTGCTCAGCTTCTGAGATCTGACCAGGTGGGACCAGCCTGGGCCAACCAGATCAAGGCAAGGGGCGTCCAGAAGTGGTTTGCCACATTGCCTGCCTCTGCGTAGCAACCCTGGACTTCCTTGGTGGTCTCCCATCGAAGCATGGACCAGGGCGGACCCTGCTCAGCTTCTGAGATCTGACCAGGTGGGACCAGCCTGGGCCAACCAGATCAAGGCAAGGGGCGTCCAGAAGTGGTTTGCCACATTGCCTGCCTCTGCGTAGCAACCCTGGACGTCCTTGGTGGTCTCCCATCCAATTACTAACCTGGGCCGGCCCTGCTTAGCTTCTGAGAGCTGACGAGATCAGGCCAGCCTGGGACATCCAGGTGAGGGAGCGGATACAGGTCTAGCTCTGTCCATGTGGCCATTTCTTCATTGCTAGCTTGAAGTCCAGGAGCACCATGAAGACCAACAAGATTTCCAGGGTGTGATCTTTCAGTCACTCTCTTGGAGTCAAATCCAGCTGTTCTGCCTCAGAGCACCACAGCTGCCCTCTGCCACTATTTATTTACTTGGCTGGGTGTTCTGGTTGATCACAAGCTAAGCATGAGCCTGCAGTGCGATGTGGCTGTGAAGAAAGCTAACGCAATCTTAGGATGCATGAACAGAAGCATTGCGTCCAGATCAAGGGAGGTGGTCATTCTGCTCTATTCGGCTATGGTCAGGGGCCTCACCTGGAGTCCTGTGTCCAGTTTTGGGCACCACATTTTAGGAAGGATGTTGACAA